AGAGAGCAGGTTGGAGAGAGAGGGGGTGTCAGGGCATGAAGGGATTTAAATACAAGAGTGAGGACTTGAAATCTATCCACTCTGTGACAGACATGTTCTATCGGTTTGTTCAGTTGGACGTCAAAGATCTTGTGGCACTATTCAAAAAGAGAAGTGAGTTTCTCCCAGTGTTCTGGCCAACAATCCCCCAGAAAAAAAATGATCATTCACTCCATAGCTGTTTTTGGGAGATTGGTATGTGCAAGTTGGCTGCTACATTCCCCCCACAAACACACAGTCACTCCACTTTACAGTAAACACTGTAAAGCGCTTTGGACATTCTCCTGAGCTGAAAGACCATATACCAAATATAAGGATTATTATTAGTATTATTTTATGTTTTATAATGCTCTGTAACTATTCGTTAAACCACTCTCTCAGATTAATGTTACTCTATGCATCCCTCACTCCATTTGGCCCAAAATACATTTTCAAATATAATTGATATATAAATGTACATCTAACTAAGCAGGAACAAATAAATTGCTTCCATACAAATAAGGTACTCCCTTCTCCCATCATTAATCTATTCCTTTCTTTACAATATTGGCTCAGTAGTCAAAGCATTCTGTCTCAACATTGCATTAAGGCTAGTTATATTGTATTCTTATTGAGATTTTGGTGCATATTAAATGCCCCAAAGTTGGAAAAGTAGTAGTGAAACAAGAGAAATCAAAAAATGGTTGGGTGATATGACTACTACTACTAATAATAATCCTTGCATTTGATATAGCCACTTATCATGTCTTTGAGATGTCTCAAAGCACTTCACAGGATATACTGTAAAGTGATTTGACTGTATATTTTGTGGGCAAAACACGGCAGCCAATTGCGCACAGCAGTGTCCCACAAACAGTTGTGCATCGAGTGACCAATTTTTTTTGAAGGGATATTACCCCCAGAAAAGATATCCACCAATTGACTAACAACCGGCTACCCACTTATGGCTAGAGGCGTGTGGAGTAAGGAAACTTGCCCAATGTTTTGCCGTGCCGGAAATCAAACCCAGGTCTCTCCCTTGTGAGACAAGTGCTCTTACCACTGAGCTACAGGTCTCCACAGGACTAAGCTTGGCTTTTAAACCCTGTATGTTGTAAGAGGAAGGGAAGAATAAGGGAAGAAAGACAATGTTGAGAAAGAAAGTGGAAGAAAACGCAATTGGATTTCAACAGAGTGAGGATGTACAATAGCAACAACAACTTGCATTTATATAGCACCAGCCAAGTAGAATAACTACTCAGAGAGCTTTATAGTGTTGGAGACAGACATAAGATGGGGGTGGGGTGGGGGGTGTGGAGGAGGACAAAAAAAGAAGGAAAAGGAGGAAAGGAAGAAGCCATATGTGCAAGATGTCACGTGTGAAATTCGGGAATAAGAGACAAAAGGTCAGGCAAGCAAGCAATGACCACAAGCAACATTGTCAAAATACAATAGATAGGTCAGGAATGATTGTGACAGAGAAGTGATTGTTAGAGATATTGAATTGGAATATAAGAGAAGGGTACAAACTGGCAATGAGAGAAAGGATTTTCTCCTACCCATCAAGAAGCACTTTCCAAAAAAGCAAAAGTCCACCAACTCTCACTCAGTGTTAACCCAGCTGAAGATGAACAAAAAAAGGGAGGCAGTGATACGGCAATAACCCTATATGTGCTTTCTAAGGATATAGGTACTCCATTTATATGTAAAGGAATCTGTTATTGTTATTTGACTTGTTTAGGGCTGGACTCTAATCAGAGTTGTTTGAAGTTCCAGCCCTAAGTGTTAATTGGGCATCAGCAACCAATTAATGAATCAGCATTGCTAAGTATTTGAGAAGATGGAAAGTCTGGAGAAGGCAGCTGTAAACGGCAATAGCTTCCTTAACAAAATAAACCTTTCTTTTTTGTTAAAACCCTTAGCCTAAATTTGTTTTCTGGCCACAACCTACAAGGCTCAGTCCTGTAGTCCTGGAGTCCTGTAGCTCAGTGGTTAGAGCACTCGCTTTGCAAGTGAGAGACCTGAGTTCAATTCCAGGCAGGGCGAAACCTTGGGCAAGTTTCCTTACTCCACACGCCTAATAATAATCCCTCCAAAAAACAAAAACAATAATTAAATTGGCCATTTTCAATCTACGACTGTTTGTGGGACATTGCTGTGCGCAATTGGCTGCCGCGTTCGCCCACAAATATACAGTCAATTCACTTTACAGTGTGTTCTGTGAAGCGCTTTGGGACGTCCTCCCGACGTGAAAAGCGCTATATCAAATACAAGGATTATTATTATTAAGGCTTGACCAAGAGCTTCAGTATTGGTAGGCTTAGAATTAACTTTGAGGAAAACTCTTTTTTGGGGGGTGGGTCATCACATTGTTCTGTACACAGCCAGAGAAGCCAATCTGAAATGGTACATTTTTATAATTACCTTCCTTTCCGCATTTAATTACAGAAAGAAGATTAGTCAGCTCTGTTCCCTCGGGAGCCAGAGACAGACATCTCTGAAATTAAAAAAAAGCAGAGGGATGAGTGGGACGGTGCTGATAGCACAGGAAGATATCGATAGCCAAGCGGGACCGATCAATACCAAACAGCCAGCGCACTAAAACAGCCCATTAGAGAGACAATAAAACTTCCCCAATCAGGTAAATTAGCCTACACTAACATCAAAGGTTTGAAATCCAAGGACAAACCCGAGGGGCTGTTAATCATAGGCTGTCACAATCCTATATAGAAAAAAGAATTGGTCATTCTATCCATGACTGTTTGTGGGACACTGCTGTGCGCACTTTCACCCATAAAATACACAGTCAATTCACTTTACAATATATTCAGTCAAGGAACGTGATAAGGTGCTACATCAAATGCAAAGATTATTGTTAGTAGTATTATTATTATCCCTTCATCTTGTTGGCTATTACTCCCCTGTTCACACCATCAATTTTATATTCCCTTCAAATTCACACTATTAACCCAGCCCCACTCACATCAATCTATAAACTTGATTCCTTTTTTCTTTGCGTGTGCAGGATTCAGCAACGCCCAGAGAATGCTGCATCAGAAGGGACAGGAAAAAGGGAAGAGCCTTATTCCGAAGAGAGTTATTCCATGTCAACAATGAAGAATAATTATGGGTATGTGGAGGCTGCTGAACAAGGAAGAATGGCCCTAGTTTAATTCTGCTACTCATCACAATGCCTACCCGTTGCTCCTAACCCTCCACACATATACACACATATTCAGTGATATTGGGAGCTCAGTTTGCAGAGACGGAGTCCTGTAGCTCAGTGGTTAGAGCATTCAAGAGACCTGGGTTCAATTCCTGCCAGGGTGAATTATTGGGCAAGTTTCCTTACTCCATACTCCTCTATTTACCTATCAGTAAGTAGGAACCCGGTTGTTAGTCAATTGGCGGATCGCTTTTCCAGGGGTAATAATTCCTTCAAGAAAAAATAATAAAATAAATTAAACTGGTTACTTCAATCCACGACTGTTTGTGGGACACTGCTGTGCGCAATTTGCTGCTGCGTTTTTCCCACAAAATATACAGTCAATTCACTTGACAGTATATTCTGTGAAGCGCTTTGAGATGTCTTAAAGGATTATTACGATCTGAGGCACTGGGCTGTGACTGATCACTCAGCTACTTATGCATCCTCCACTAAATGCTTAGACACTATGGAAACTCACAATCAGACAGAAATGATGCCGATTCAGAANTTTTTTTTAGCTCTTCTTTTAAAAGTCTCAAGAGTTCCTGGAATTGACACATTTAAATAATTCCAAAACTTCATTGAATATGGTGTTAATTTGTTCTGGAGCTTACCTCAATTAATACAAAGGGCAGGGAAGCATCCCACTCAGCTCTTGTTAACCCGACAAGCCAAAGTCCTAACGTGTAGGGTGGTCCTAGCTTGAAAGCTTGCCAGACAACAATATCAATGGCAAGCTATGAAATTTTACCTGGTTAGACTCCAGCACACTCTGGGGTCCCCAAGCCTTGACTCAATTAAATTCCAGGATCCAGATTTGCATAGATATTTTCCCAGGAAATTATATAATTTGAGATGAGGGAGTCCTTTGGAAGCAAGGAGCTTGAGGGACCCATGGCTATTTCTCACGCAATCCTATGTTAAATTCTCAGTGCCCTCACTAATCACAGAATGGACCAGTCACAATGAGCACTTAATATTCAAATGAGATGTGACTGAATATAAAACAACGAAGTCTGCAGCTTTGCCTTTGCTATTGGGTGCACAGATGTAATGACGTTCTGTAGATCCACAGGCATTCCTCCAGCTGGACTTTGATCTGCCAGTCCATTTGCAGATGGCAATTTATTTTGTAATGGTAAGATGAGGTTTGTTTGTGGGCAAACTAGAATCTAGATACGGTATAGGCAGCTCCAAGGTTGATCCGTTGCCGTGTTCATCCCCACCCCATGCCACCCCCACCAAACCAATAATACTGTATTTCCAAATCCAGGTGTGACTTCTGCTGCAGCTGGTATTAAAGTACATTGAGGAAGCAGCTTTAAATTGTGTACTACGAGTAGCAAACTTAAAATTAGAACAATGCCATGTATTCATTCATCATCTGGTATTCAGCACACTTTGTGTACTTAAAACACATTAGGGTGTAATTTGCAGTAATTTTTTACCGGATTACTAACAGAGAATCCCAATAAGATTCCCATGGACTGGCAGGAATTGGGCACTGAAAGTGAAGGTTCTTACAGCATTACTGATCCACAGGACTCCCCATTCTCACGACTTGGAATATCTTAAGAAATACTGTGGTTTGGACCCTGTTACCTCTATGGCTGTGTGCGTCCAGCTCAACAAGCTCTTGGTGAATGGACGAATGCTGCAGCACATTTTTCCATTACGTTGGGTCAGCACATCCACACATGAGTCGAGTGGCACCTACATCTGACCTTTTAGCTTTTGAAAGGGTTTGAATAGCTTGCGTTGAATGAGTACTTACAGTGTCCTAAGCTTTGGCATGTGGTTGAAGCTGGTCAAGGGGATGAGGCTGATGTTGTTATTATTGAGAGTGCTGGAAGAGAAAAGACAGATTATTATTCATTGCTGAGAACAACCATGTCAAATTAAGTGTTAGTCTTCTTGTAGGCTGGGGTGGGAGTACAGAGACATGCCTGTCCTCCACTACTTGTCTCTTCACATGGACGTACAATGGGTGGGAAAGAGCGAGAAAAGGAAAAACCAAGTCTGCGTCCCACTCCTACCAAGACACTGTAATTGCCTGTGTCTTAATGTCTAACTGTTCCTGATGTCTCCCTTCAGTTTAACCAGAAGTGCTCAAAGCCACGTGCTTTTGATCCGCGACGGGTTGGAGAAGATGTTATTCCAACCAGCCTGACATTCGCTCTGTCTCCTCCAGTCTGATGACCAATTCATCAATCCTCAGTGCGTCTCGGAGCATGTAATCTACCCGGTCAGTGTCTCCACAATAGCGTGTAATTGCTTTATCACAATGATATTATATTTAGCATGCAAAAGCCAATTATGGCTGTGAAGCATCTCCTGGCGACAGAATAATCTGAGGGAAACTGTCAGTTTGAGGCTAAACAAACTGTTTAATATAATCCTGTTGATTTGTATCCTTTGAGGCAGCATCACAATTATGCTAATTTATTTAGTTTTCATTTCTATTAGATTCAGAAGGGAAAAAAAATAGATTTCTCCATTGGATTGAATTCTAGATGTCACATTTGTTAAAGGGGGAAAGTTTGTTCTACTGAATTGGTTCCATTGTCCAGCAGATCTCTGCTGACTGACTACTCTTAGTCACTCCTGCTTAACCCTGTTTATACTCCAGGACTGCAGGCCAGAAACAGACTGATAACAAACACAAGATAAGAAAGCATTGAATGAGACAAGGCAACTCAGACTATCAAGTCCATTCCTTTCGCAGACCACACAAAATCCACCTTATTATGATGACTTCAACACACCTCCTCTGAAACTCCATCTGGGTCCAAATTTATTCGATTGATGGTTTAGAGAGTCTAGAGTTTGGCAAATTCTTAAACGCTGTCTCAAGTTTGATGCCAGTTTTCTGTGTTTTTTTTAAGAGCTACAATTTCAAAGTTGAAGCCAAATTCAGCAATTTGTCAGAGACCAAGTTAACAAAGTGAAAGAACATGTCCTCTAAAGCATGAATCCAGGCAGCAGCGATGCTCCATTCCTTGCTATACTCTGCTCGTTTTTATTCCTTTCAGCTTTCTCATAAAATACAAATTAATCCCATCAAACAGATTCAAAGGTCTTTCCTGGATCACATTATATCCCTGAACAAATAGATACATCACCGGGTTCAGTCTACGCTCAATCACTGATCTCAGCTGGGGCTACATTGGTATCAGTGAACCAGGATTAGGGAGAGATAAATCAGCCGTTTATTGCTCGACAGAACTCCCCACCCCTCCCCCCCAGTTGGACTCCTGTGAGGAGGTCTATAATGATGTAGAAGCAGGCTCGGCTACAATGCCCAATGAGATCAACATACTGGTAATTCAGGGTCACATATGAATAAGTCAAACACATTCAGGTGAGGAGGGCAGAATCTTTTTCACGTGGAAGGTGCTGTATAAACACATGTTATATTGTTAAATATATATAATGATTCACCTACAAATACCATCACTGTACTTTACAGTATATCCTGTGAAGCACTTTGAGATATTTTGAAGATGTGATAAAAGTGCTGTATCAAATGCAAGGATTATTATTATTATATCACACACACACATTATGTTTATTTACATTTCTTCATAGTCTTCAATCTCAGTTTAGTTGATTAATTCAAATTTTGTGACAATGCTAGAGAATTCACATCCAGTCCACGGTGATATTGACCTGGACAGAGCATACCTCATTAAAACAAGCAGGATGAAATAGACATTGTGATAGATTTTGATTGGAAATCTCAGGTATCCATTGCCTTCAAAACAGAGTAGCACTGGGCTGATTTACTTTACCAATCATGTCAAATACACCTGAAGAGATCAATAGTGCAATTGGCTGCCGCATTTCGCCCTCAAATATACAGTCAATTCACTTTACAGTCTATTCTGTGAAGCGCTTTGAGATGTCTAGAAGACTATATCAAATAAAGCGCTATATCAAATGCAAGGATTATTATTATTATAGGGTATGAATGGCATAATTCGTAATGGGCGGACAGAAGATTCCAGAATGCTTGGTGCACAGTCTCAAAGCTCAGTAAGCTGCAGGTCTGATGTCTTATGCAGGTTATTGTCCGCATTGTAAATTGAATTTGGAGGTTTGTATTGATCCCCATCCCTCCACCCCCAACTAAATAGAAAGAGGACTTAAATCCGGAGTTTTCATATATTTAATAGTGCACACAGCTTGTTTTAAATGACTGATATAAATAGGATGGAAAGAAATTACATACAGTCAGGATTGGGAAGGGCTTTGATAGTAGCAGAATTGCAGTTACTAACATAATAAACTGGGCTGGGAAGCGTTCCTGAGACGCTCAGTGTGAACCTTTTAAGATCATTTTGTCTTAAAATTTAAGATCGAGTGGAATTGTGGATAATTCTTAAATTCCATCTTAGTTTGGAAGCTCTTATTGAAAGAACCGGCTTCCAAAAAAAGAATATTCCACATTTCAGCATGACCTTAAATGTTTAGAATAAATGGCCTTACAGACAGAGATGAGTAGATTTCTGGGCCTCGGAGGAGTTAGTTAGTCACCAGGGAATGTGAGCTCTTTGAGCGCTCCTTGCACACATCGGCCACAGAAATTGCCAGTCAGCTTTATGGTTTACCAACACTCATTGTTTGTAAGTACTGTATATGTCACCCATTCTGCAATACTACAAATGATAACACATCAACCGCTTCAGATCACACACAAACTCTGAGAGTGACTTTAGAGTATTTTATCAATGGAGTTGCAAACCAACGGTCCCAACTCAACACTTAGTAATTTTTAACATCACCCTTAAACATCACACCTTTCTTATGATTAGTAGTTTTGCTGATGGAATAACAGGGTGGGTAGTGATGGATGAAAAAGCTACCACAATCTCATGGAATGAGTTCCCAGGTTATACCAAGATTTACGTAATAAAATGAGGAATATTGTGACTCATAAATATTATACTCCAAAAAACTCACCTCTTTGACTGCACTTTCGACCATTTTTCCTCCCCGTCCTTACCCTCTTCAGCTCCTTCCGCCCCCACCCCACCCAGCTTGGGTGCCCAGACAGCTGTGTAAAAGTGTTTTAAAATGTGTACATGTAAATTGTGCTTAAATTTTACATACAATGATCAGGAGAGTCAACAGAGAGAACTAAGGGTTTTAAATCAGTCAGATCTCACTTTGGACTAAAAATAATATGAGTTGGTGTTGCTGATGAGCCACATTAAGCAGCTTCACATATAGGCAGCAAGGCAGCTACTTATGCCTGTGGCAAACCATGGGTATTAACACGCATTAACAAAATACTCTCCACAGAGGCGAGGGAACCTCATTAACCTCCTCTAATCAGTATATTGTGCACTTTGTATCATTAATATATATTATGGTATTTTGTGCCTCTTCATCTCAGCCAATATCCAATTAATTTCCTTGCCCAAAGGAGCATTAGACCAACATCTAAGAGCAGTACCAATTATGGAGAGTACACAACAGAAGTGAACCCGCAGAGAATCTACAGTCTTGCTGTAGATCTCTGCCAATTCTACCTCCCAACCATCATAAAAAACCTAAAGAAATAAGTCCATCAGTCTGTTTAATTCCCCTTTTACCTCACTGAGCACATCCAGTGTGAAGATGAATTCCTGCCAGGCAGGCTGCTCGGAGAGGAGCCGACCCAGAACTTTCATCGTCACGAAGCTCCTGGTGAAGCAGTTGGTCTGCGATGCACCTCGCCAGCCTGAGGATCGGCAGAGAGGGTGTTGTAGACCGGCGCTAGTGCTGCCACCCTGGTCCAGTCTTCCATCCGCAATGCTTACCCCTCCCCCGGCTCTAAATATTTATGCTAGCCCGATTGCCCGAGCGTGGTGACGTCAAAAGGACGCTTACTGATTTATTACTGCGGTAAGAACAGAGCAGCTTTTAACTGCAGCGATTTATCCGCGTTTTGGTTGGGAGTGAGTGGGGCGGGGAAGGGGGGATGGGAGAGGGTTATTACATCGCTACTGAGGGAGGCGGGAACGACAGCGATCAAACCACATCCTATACAATTATGCGTCGAACTGAAAGCAAAGCCTAGCCGTCTCAATCTGTGTGGGAAGCCAACAGTTTCCTTCAAATTCTACCAATTGTTGATTGGAGGGAAGTCTGACTTACAGAGAGAAGGACAATGAGATCAGTGGAGAGTCATTGGGCAATGCAGCTCAGATGGCAATACACTGTCTCCGAGTTGCATTGAAATGTTGCTCCAAGCAACGTTCATTGCAAAGGACCCTCTGTCATCCCCAGATTAGGGTTCTGTCGATCAGTTCTACAGCTTTAAATCACTGCAGGTAATTTGTCGTAGCCAAGGAAACAGGATCTCTATTCACCTTCCTGGCTTGTCTTTTTTTTCTTTCATTAAAACAATAGAGGCTACCAAAGGAAGCATCCGCAATCTATACTTTCACAGTCCTAGGAAGAAAACCTGAGGGTGGGAAAAAAGCGTTAATGTTCCATTTTCACCTGTTTAGTTTGGAAGATGATTGATGCTTTCCTTTCCCAGTTGGGAGAGGGAGAATTACTCTAGAGACTTTGCATTCTTGTAAATATGAAAGGCCAAAATTGTTGGACTGTACTTTCTACCTCACTTTTAGGTAGACTGTTGCCACACAGAAAGTCGGCCCTTCTAGTTTGTGCCGGAGTTTTACTCCATATGAACCTCCACCTCTCCTATTTCCTCTCCATTTCTCTCTATTCCTTTCTCGCTCATGTAAGCATCTGAAAACATTACATGCTGCGAGCCTCTTTGTGGGGGACAACTTTAACCTAACAGTTTGTTTTTTCTTTTGAATAATTTTCTCCTCTCCCTTCCCTCTACACCAAAAGGAATTTTGAGTCCTCTTTCTTCCTACTGGGCTACAGTTGCAAGAGTTCTCTCTAATACCCCACCCAACACATCGTTATTCATCTGACAGTGAGTGTCCTTAGAATATTCAACCCGGGTGGTGGGAGCGAAGAGGGGGGTTGAGCCAAAGCTCAATCGTGGGCTCATTCAACATTCACATACGCATATCTTAAAGCAGGAGTTTTAATGATCAGCAGCAGGTCATCCAAGCTAACCTTCCCCTCCCAAACTCAATTGTCACATTCCAACTATTTCTCCAGCTGACATCAGCTAATAGTAGTCCATATGGCTCGGCTGATTACTGAGCTTTTATTGAATTACATAGACTGTTACAGCATGGAAAGTCATTGTGGTCCGTGCAGCGTTTATACTCCACATGAACCTCCTCCTCTCCTATTCCCTCTTCCAAGTCTCTCTTTTCCTTTTTCCTGCATGTAATCATCCTCTGATATATATTGATAAAGGGACATTCCGACTGATTCTTCATGAAAATAGTGGGGCAGCAACAGTGGGACAAGACATTAGCCTCTGAACAGCTCCACCTTTTACATTAATAATTAATAATCAGCATTTTGATATTGCACTTTTTACGTCTTCTAGACATAAAAAGCGCTTCACAGAATATACTGTAAAGTGAATTGACCGTATATTTGTGGGCGAAACCCAGCAGCCAATTGCTCACAGCATTGTTTTGGAGGGATTATTATTAGGGGGTAAGGAAACTTGCCCAAGGTTTCGCCCTGTCTGGAATTGAACCCAGGTGTCTCGCTTGCAAGGCGAGTGCTCTAACCACTAACTACAAAAATAATAATAATAATCCTTGCATTGATTTTGCACCTTATCACATCATTGAGACTCAAAGCGCTTCACATCATATTGACTGCCTATTTTGTCCCCAAACAGTCGTAGATTGAGTGACCAAATTACTATTATTATTTTTTTAAGGGATTATTATCCCTAGAAAGCAATCTGCCCATCGACTAACAATTAAAGCCACAACAGCCCAATTAGCTGCAGTATTCCCAAATTAGTGCTTTCCATCATTTCTTTCCTGTAACAAGGTTGGAAGCCCAAGACATTATCCTGGTCTATTCATATAGCTTGTGCCTTCTTGTGACACAGGTAATGATGTTTGACCAAGGGAGGAGGAGAGGGAGGCCAATGTGCAGAGCATGAGCGCTAAGTGCTTGGCCAATAAGCTCTTCTTTTTGCTTTGGTTCCGGCTGATTAGCAGGACAGGACTGGGGAAGAGAGAAGGGGGAGGTCAGGAGAATGGACAGACAAACAGCGCATTTCAGAAATTAGCATGTACTGCAGAATAAAAACCTTCTACAGACAGCACAGGAGGAACACTTATTCAAGGGACAGTTTCATAATTAATACCACTGGAAAGTTTATTTTCCAATGTTTCTGGGTCCCGCAGCTCATATAAAAGTAATTTTTAACAAGTTGGTATTCAGTCAATGGCCTTGTGGTTCATCTTGTATTTGGACCTTTGCGAAATGTACGTATCTTTTACAAAGCATCAACTTCAAAGTAAAGTTTCATCAATTCTTCTCTCTGCTCCCGATCAGATGATGTGTTAGTCGGTCACACTGAAATGAATCATCGTGTTGCCTTTGCCTGACATCAATGTGTCAAACAGGATTCTCAGCTGTGTTTTTTCCCTCGTAAAATCTCTGCCCTTCCTTCCTGAAGGATCTGCTGCACTCCGGTACAGTTCAATGGGAGCAAACTTCCCTCCTGTCCCTTGCCCAACATTGAATGTCAGAAGACTTTTGAACGTGGTCAAATCAGATCCTTTCCTTACAGGCACACATTATCCAGTAGGGAATTGCTGGAAATTGATTAAGAGCAGGAACTCTGGCTTAAAGGCACTGAGGAGAATTGCAGGATCCCTAATGCTCACTCTGGCTGCGATCCGTGAGTTTAAAAAAGATCGAATTCAGGACATTTTGTGTCTGAATGGCTTAGTTTTGCATTGGGCATTGGCTTCATAACTTAGTCATCACCAGAGGAAATCTCCAGCTCCTGAAAAGGATATTTAGACAGGGTTGTTGCCCCTTTGGTCATATTCTTTGGTCAGAAGGTTGTGGATTTGTGAATTATGCTCATAGTTGACTTCCAGTGCAGGACTGGGGAACATTGCATTGTTAAGCGAATAATAATAAATCTAAAATTTGGTACAGCACCTTATCAAGTCAAAACACCACAAACTGCTTCACAGAAGTTTGTGCAAAGCATAATGATTGTGTATTTGTAGGCAAACCGGTAGCCAATTTGTACAGAGCTAATTTTTATCTGGAAGATTGTTGGTCTGGAGAAAGTCCCTTCCCTTTCTGAATAGTGCCATGGGATCTTAATGTCCCCTTGAGAAAGCAACCAGGATCTCAGTTTACCATCTCCTCTAAAGGATGACATCTCTGATAACCCAGCGCTCGCCCAGCACTGCATCAGAGTGTCGGCCAGGATTATGAGCTCAAAGTCCCAATACGAGGCCTGAACCAAACAAACTTTTGATTCAGAGACAAGGGTGTTACTAACTGAGCCAGGCTGATACCTAAACACTTGGTTAAAGGTACCATCCTTGGATGAAATGTTAAAACCAAGCTCCCATCTACCTGTTCAGATGGTCATTAAAAATCCCCTGGCACTCTTCAAAATGAGAAGGGAGTTTCTCCCTGATAAATTGGTCATTCACCGCATGCCTATTTGTGGAACCTCTGTGTGCAAAATAGCTGCCACATTTAACTAAAAAATGCACACTCTACACTTGACAGTAATTACTGTAGAGCAGTCTGCAATATTTCAGTACAATAAGGTGCTGTAAAATTGCAAGTTCCTTCTTCAGAAAACTCCGAACACAGAATTTCTGTTTGCTAATTTCTGGGATAAAAGGAACACCAAATGTGATACATCATGAGAAAAGAATGAGTGTGTTGGAAATCACTGAGCTACACTCATTCCTCAAGGAAATAGGAAACATAAAGCAAAATAGTCATCGAGAATTTTGGACTTCCAAGCCAGAAATTATACGTGGCAGGGGGCAGGGGTATACAGGAGTGAAGATTACAGCTTTAACACTGATCACACAGACTGAAATNAAAAAATGAGATTCAGTTGCGGTAGAGCTTTATATTAATATTACTAACATTTTCCCTTCCTTCCTAACAAACCTGTCACTCCTTATAGATAGCATTTGCTGGCCATCAATGGAATGCACAGTTTGGGAGGGGAAGGGTTTAATAAATTGATCTTTTAAAAATTGCATTTAGGTAATGTCTTTAATGAGACACAAGAACATAAAACAGCTTTCGAAACCATTGCACTTGTTAAAAAGTCTCCTTAAAACACAGATTTACAGTTGCCTCCGCATCGCATTTTCAGCATTTCGTACAACAACAACTTGCATTTACATAGCGACCTTCACACGGAATAGCGTCCTGGAGAGCTTCCGTAGTCTCACTTCATGACAAGATTGATATGCGGTTGCATTACTCCAGCAGGAGCGATCGCAGAGCATGTCACCACAGGGGAAGAGACAAGTTTCTGGCCACAACATTGAGACCACCTTTACATCACACATTGCCTCATTTTTAAACACAAGGCAATTCAGAAAATGTAAGTGCTGATAACTCGATAAACCCCAGACTGTGTCCAATGGGGCCCCAACTTATAAAATCCAACAGCGACTGGACCCTCACTCAATATGTTGTGAGGGTCTCTTAAAATCACTCACCTTTTGACTATTGACGATCAGACTGACATGCAATGCCTAAAACTATTCCCCTCCCTGCCAGGATTCCCTGATGTGTACTCACTAGGTTTTACAGAATGAATAGCTTTTAAACTTCACAGAGGATCACAAGACGATAATTCCCCCTTCCAGTCTCCCCCGCCCCACCACCCCGCCCTGAAATAAGTCTGGCCTGCTTTACACACGGAACATTGCACAGTCAGTAGAAGAAACACGACTTTCTTCAATTGAAAGGTCATTTGTATTTCTAGTTCACAACAGAAAAGTCAACAAGAATAACTTGCATTTATACAACGTCCTTCAGGTGGGCAGCATCTTGGAGCGCTTAACAGCAGCTGGAGAGGAGGGGAGGTGACCAAAAGCACGGTCATGGAGTCTATTCAGGATAGAAATCAGAATTCTATCCTGGATTTTAACATTTCCTCTCCCCCACCTCCCTCCCACCCATGTGGGTTAACTCTGCTGATCGCCAACTTTAAAATCAATCTCTAAGCTCTCTTATTCTCTCCCCATTCCCCCCCCCCCCACACATTTAAGATGAATGAGGTACTGTCCTTCACTTGAACAAGACTGAGTTGTGAGATTTCAAATGCAGATACACCAGGAAGAGGGAGAAAGAGAGAATCCGAGAGCAAGAGCATTACATTGAAATCCTAGATACAGGTCAGCATCAAATCAACTGGCTTCAGTACACACACGTACACACACGCACGCACAAACACACGCACGCACACGCATGCATACTACACACAGTCACACACACACATGCACACACACACATGCACACACACACATGCACACGTACAAGCACACACACATACGTACATGCACAAACACATGCAGCGACCTTATAATTATAATAATCCTTGCATTTGATATAGCACCTTACCCTACCGTCAAGACATCTCGAAGCTTGTGGCTAGGAATGAGTTAACGTAGGGGAGGTTAGACAGACCGCATGCACAAGATGGGGCGGGCAGGGGCGTGGGGGAAACAAAAGAGACCGCGTCCACTCACAGAATCTCCAGGTCACGCAGGGCTCTGAAGGTTCCATCTTCGATACAACCGATGTGATTGTTGTCCAGCTGCCTGTTAAATAAACAAACAAAATAATAAAAGAGGAGCACATCAGAGGGGGCAGTGAGGAGACAAAGCCCCTTCTCAGCGGACTAGGGGGTTTTGGAGGTCCCCATCACACCGGAATATCCCCTTCACTAGTAACACTGAGCCAGCCACCCTGGCCCTGCACACCATCGCTGCCTCCTCTGACTGAATGAAAAGCCCTCACACTCAGAACACAAACCTATCAGCTCCCGGTAAATATTAATTGCTCATTTTTTTTAAAAGACAGAGGGGAGTAATTTCATTACATTAGGTGGCCCAATCCATTACAGGCTTTTACCGTTCTGTCAGTGAAACCATTTCATTAAAAGTAAAGGCTTCTAAATCACTCGGGGTCACACATCTGCCCTCCACGACCTACCAGAATTTCTCTCTCTCATCTTTTCTTTTCTCTCCTGGTTCTAGAGGCTGACTTGAAGTCTGCATGACAAGTTCCTATTACAATGCTGAGTGCTCAATCACTGCGGCGGTCTGTCAGGGGGCACACTAAGAGTACGGCGCACAATCCAAATTAAACCCAACAAATCTCATTTGGTATTCACTCATTACGCTGTGCACCAAATGCTTGTTACCACATTGCCCTGAAATTGAATCATCATTCCTTCCCAAGTTTTTTTTTGTTTTTAAAAAAATTGAGTGTCTTGAGTTTTGGGGGTTGATGGGGGGGAATGGTCTGCATTTTAAAAAGAGCTGTCTCCACAAAATCCTCCTTTCAGGTACTAGTGAATGGTTGCCAAAACGCAGTACAGTGCTGTAAATCATCATAGCTCCTTGAAGGCATGACGAGTCTATCACCGTGTAATTAAGCCACGAAGACTAGAAATGTTCCAGGTTCAATTCATATACCATCCAGGCTGGGATGAGGAAACATTGCAATTGGAACCAACCCTTTGCACAAGAGAAACTGGAAACAAATCAGCCAGTGTCTGCTTCCCGATCACCTTGGAGACCTCTGCTGTGTGCGCGCCTAAACTGGCTTGAGGAGGAGATTGGAATTGTCTGTGATGCTCTCAAGGTGGAAGAGGGAGTGTAGAGGGAGCTTTACTCTGTATCTAATCCATGGCAAAATTAATAATAATTAATAATACGAATCCTTGCATTTAATACAGCAAATTATCACATCAAAACACTATTTAGTGAAGTGTATTTGACTGTGTATTTATAGGTGAACACAGCAACCATTGTCCGCAGAGCAATGTCCCACAAACAGTCATGAAGTAAATTGCTAATTTTATTTTTGACCAGGACAAAAATCCTGTTTTTAAATAGTCCCATAGTATCTTTAACATCCGCTTAAACAGGCAGATGGGGCAATGGTTTCAAGTCTCATTTGTAGGATGCCACCTCCAACATTCCAGCCAGCACTGTACTAGGGCTGTCAGACAAGAATAGGAGTGAAAATTATCAATGAGGTGCTTGAACTAACAAATTGCTGACTCGAAGGCTAGAGTGTTACCACTGAACCAGGCTGACATGTATTTCTGAGAGAATTTGATGGGTCTGCTTAACGGGAACTGTATCTAACCTGCGCTTCATAACAGTCAATTCACTTGAGAGTATATTTTGTAAAGCGCTTTGAGATGTCTCGAAGACGTGATAAGGCACCTCCAGTGCAAGTATTATTATTATTAATATTATCCAGGAGCTCTTGATACTGCAATGCACAAAGAGCTTCACGGCATATATTGAGTATTGCAGTTTTATGGTCAATAAGGTTGTGTAGTTGGGGACCGCATGTTATAAGGTTGATGGAGTTGAGGAAATGGGGCCTTGAGTTTAGAATTAATGCACGGTGTGGAAATGCGGATGATTTGCTGCCAGTGTTCTGTGCGTTGACCATTTCTGCTCAACAGTAACAGACTCTGATCTCCCCAGTGCTGAGGTCACTGAACTCCAACAGGCTTTAGCCTGACTGAAAGCTGATGCTATCACACATGAGGCACTCAAGGGCATCAGCTTCCTGGAAGTTGCCTGTGAATGACAGCTTTCCCTGCACTTTGCAGGTTTACTGCCAGCCCTGGAACTGCTGCTTAAGCATAGTCCATTGCGCTGGCCACCGTCAAGCACTTACTTTCTGACAGTGATGATGAATGAGCTTCCAGAGACCTGAGTCACTGGTATCGCATAACAATTCAGAACAAAATACAAAAAAAGCCTCATCCACAACACAGCCTTCAACCTCTGCAACACAGCATCTTATTGAGATATGCGTTGCAGCTTCTGGTTTCTACCTGGCAAACAAAACAATGGATTTAAAGTGTATGACAAATCCCATACATTATTGGTGAGGACCAGACTACAAATACTACAGCTTGGGGATCATTTGATTCTGCGTTCAGAGGCAGCTAAGGTCAATTTGCCTTGATGGCTCTGAAGACTTTGGCTGCCATCGACCAGGGAATGAACGGCTCTGTCTGAGTCAATACTTCGCTGAACAGTGCATTCACCCAGTGAAATAAAACTGGAAAAATGCTGGAAATCTACAGCAGGGCAGTTAGCGCCCGAAAGAGAAAGAGTGGGTGAACATCTGGGCTCTGACTCTTCATCCATACTGGAACAAGCAGACTGAAGGTTTAACCCCCTTTATGTAGGATTGAAGAAGGAAAGAAGAAGTAGACCAAGAAAATGATGACATTAGGAACAAGTTGTAACAGTGGTGGATTGACTGACCAAATTTTTTTAAAAGGGCTTATTACCCCTGAAAAGTGATCCACCAATCAATCAACTAACAACCGGGTTCATGCTTACTGCTAGGTAAACAGAGGCATGTGGAGTAAGGAAACTTGCCTAAGGTTTTGCCATGCCAGCGAATCGAACCCAGGTCCTCTCAGTTGCGAGGCAAGCGCTCTAACCAATAATCTACAGGACTATAAAAAAGACATTCTAAGGCAGTACAGCATTGCTGCAACTGAAACAAAAAGACATGTTGAATATTTGGGCTCATTACGGTGGTGAGAGGATTGTCAGATTGTCAGGAATGGAATGCTTCTTTTTAAATTTCACACTCAATGTCAACATCCAGCACTGTCTGGCTAACGCTAGACGCAGAGTAAAGCTCTCTCCTAAACAATGCATCTCATCTCCACTACAATTGGCTACCATGAGGTTTCCTGGGTGAATTACTAAATAGGGGTCAAATGGTGCTGATCGGGTACACTGCGCGCTGCGTCCTCCCAATGTTGGAAAAGGTCTCAGGCCTATTGGACCTCGCTGGTGTAAAACCATCAAGTTAGAACCAGCAGAGACGAAACTCATCCCTTTGTTCTGAGCTCCATTCAATTCACCCAATTCCCAGAGATGAAAGCATAGCATTCAGATCCACGGTGAGACAAAGCTCAGATAGATCATAACAACAATTTATGGCGTCTGCGGGCTCGAAATTGCTGCAGCAGGAAACCTTCATCTGAGATTTTTTTTCACAGCGGAAAATTACTCAGATCGAAAGCTGGAGAGAGCATTCAGTGGGCAAAAAGCAATGGAAGTGCTAACACAGTCAAAGCAATTAATAACATGGAAGTGAAGGGAGGCACTGTCAAAATGACGTAAATTCAGGGTTCATGACTTCAATAAAGCTGTTTGAAAGAGTAATTAAAATTCACAATATATTTTATGATAAATTAGCTCTTTCTTGCAACCGTATGCATAACTAGGTGGATTTCTTGAAACATAGACTCAATAAAGATAAATCAGTGAGCAGCAATCTCACTTAGCGTTGTACAGAAAAGCAATACGTGGCCTCAAAACCATCTTAGTCTCCATTCTCCTTCAGCCCACGCTGCCCAGCTTGATTCATTGTTGGCGTCTGAAAGCTTGGTTAAGATTTGTTTTCGAAAAAAAAACATGAAATGTTATATTGATAAAATGTGAAACACAATTCCCGGTTCATCTGAATTATGATTTGGGTTAACTTGTTTCCATCCAATTCATATTGAAAGGCACCTAACACTTTAAATCAATATTTTGAGGGGATTTCTTGGGGTTTATTAAAGTCAGAGATTTCAGTGATGAGGAATGAACTGCTATTGTCCAAATTCACAGCTCACGTCTTGTAGCCACATCAAGGCTCACCCAGGAGTGTCAAATGTAAGCGTCTCTGAACTCATGAGGCTGTTACGGGCTCCCTGTGGTCTAATGGGTAAAGGCAACCCTACAGCAACACTAAGCAGTGCCGATTGGGAGGTCACAGGTTCAAATCCCAGGTGTGTGCTATGCTGGGCAGCAGTCAGGGCTACAATTGCCCGCAACACTCCTTGGGGTTGGGAGGTGAAGATCTGACAGTTACAGCCCCTCATGGCTCTTTGGTGGCCTTGTTGGAAGCTATGAGTACATGGACATCAACTGAAGTCAGGAGCAGATTCAGATGTGTACCTCGTCCTCACTCGTGGTTAAACAGTCAACCAAGTGTTAATGTTAAAACTCAAAAATGGACAAAGGTTATTTGAGTGAGGTGTGATTACGATTGTAGAAGTAAAAAAAATGAGCAAACTATATATAGAGCAAGAGAAGAATGTGGCTCTAAACCTTGACCAGCGTCTGAAGCTGCTACTGCTTAGATCTGAAATGCCAAATAGACAACAGAATTCCCGCATTCCAATTACTTGTCTTGATATTACGATACTTCAGTCTAAACTATTCCAGTTTGCTGAACCAGATTGTCCCCTGCTGCTGATTAAAGTCTTTACTGTGATGCCTGGCTGAGGTGTTACAGGGAACAGCAGGGAGCTCGCTCAGAAGCTTGAACATGAAATCGAAACGAGAAGCTTACTCACAGGTTTTTGATGTCGACGATCCCACGGAAAGCTTTCCTGGGAATGGCTTGAATCCGGTTCTCGCTCAGGTCACTGTAAACAAGAAAGACTTCATTTACAATCAAGGCAAATGTCAGTCACCCAATAAACACAAACAGCCCAGACGTTGACTAAGGAGAATGTGTGCCTGCTCAAATCAAATTCAAGTCAGACCCTTTTGCACTGAATGCCCAAACCCTTCCTAAAAGAAATGTCCATTAATGTAACTAACTGGTGGCATATTCTCACTTTCATTTTGAAATCTTTTGAGTATCAAAATTTAGCTATTTTCAAATCACATCCAGGTTGATTGACCAACTTGTAATCAATTCAATTGAAAAAAATCCTAAACAGAAGCACTCTAAAAGAGCAAGAGAATTACAATTGTTTGCCTATGTAAAGGATTTTTTTAGTTTACTTATATGCAACTTTTTTGTTATAATGATTTCTACATTGTTGATCATTTTAAATTGAGTTACTTAATCATTGCTAAATTAATTTCAAAAATATTTTTCTAAGCAGAGAAAGATGATTGATGCTAATCAGAATGACATTTGTGCCCCTGAATTTGTAACCACAGGAAGTGGACTGAAATTAACCGAACTCCCAAAGACGGAGGCAGAGGGAAAGAATCCTAGGGACACTACAGCAAGAGATACCGAGACAAAAACACAGGCAAACAGAGAGAGAGAGACTAACACAAGCACGCAGAAAAATTAAGAGAGGATTTAAAAAGCTACAAATATGTCCTCAGTAAGCGAGGGAGAAAACACACAAAGTGGAACAGTGATAGAGACAGATTGGCAGTCAGACATAGAGAAAGATACACAGACACACAAATAATACGTGCAAGACAGGAACACTGAGTTTCTTACAAACATCAGTCCATTCAATCACATTGACCATTTATTTATCTGCTTGAATTTGAGTAGCTGATGTAAATTAAAGCGACAGATCTCAGTTTAGCCTTCAACAACAACAAAATTACATTTATAGAGCGCCTTTCACGTCGGGAGGACGTCCCAAAGCGCTGAATAGTCAGGTGTTGGGGCCCGAGCATGGGGGAGGGGTGGGGTAGGGGTGATGGAAGGCAGAGAGGTGGGAGGACGACCAAAGGCAGGATTGAAGAGAAGTCTTGAGACTGGCCTTGAAGGAGGCAAGGGAGGAAGCGAGGTGAAGGGATTGTGGGATGGAGTTCCAGAGTGTGGGGGCAGAGAGGCTGAAAGCCCGGCCACCGATGGTAGGGCGGGTCGGCGGGGAACATGGAGGGAGTGGGCAGGTTGGTAGGGAGTCAGCAAGTCAGAGAAGTAGGAGGGGGCATGGTAATGGATGGCCTTAAAGGTGAGGACGATGCTTTCAATGACTGATGCTTTCAGTCCACAGCTTTTATCCCTCTGCAGTGGGATAGAACCTCAGAAAGTTCCTCAGTTATTGCACATGTATATACACCAGTTAAGCATTGCATTTTACTTCCCCTCAGATTTTGAGACATTTCAGCCCCCTCCTCTACCCAGCCACACAATGAAAAGTTGAAGATTTACGAAAGCTAGAAGTTCTTTTGTATTGTGAATTAACAGAGCAAATATTTTTTACAAGGCATAATAAGATATCTCTGATTTCAATTGTTTAAGCACTGCACTCTATACCACAGTTCAATTTACATGTCATTTCAGCAGTGCTGGCAATAGAAGATGACCAAATGATTTGAGTCTGAAAGTGCCTGTCACTCCAATGTGTTTTCTGTCTACTGGATGATTGTCTTTACCATGCAGTAATACCTGAGCGGAAACACTCCTCTAACCACAATGATGTCCATAACAATTTTAGCGGACACACTCTATTGCTCTATTCTGTTCTGCCACTAGGATCAATATCTAGCTTTATCCTCACTAGGTTTGTCCGATCATTGACTCAAGTCCGATCAAGACCCTTTCTTGCTCCTTGATGTGTTTATTCACTGAACGCAAGAGCGATTGATGCATCTTACGCATATGCACTTGATGTTTCTGACCCAACTGAACTACGTGTATCCATCGCAAATGAAAGGCGTGTCGCAAGGATCTATCGATTAGAGTTATCGTCCACAACAGAAACTATATAAGATTTGGTGCCAGTGGGTTTGAAAAAAGAAGTGATGTGGCACACATTCAGGGATTGTTTAATATCATTGTTTCCAATTATCCTTCATTATATGGACTGTCACAGTATAAAGCATTAAAATCAAAAGTGAGTGACTCCGTACCCCTCTTATCCAAGCAAAAGACCTGATACTGTTAACATTCCAGATATTTTAGTCCTGTAGCTCAGTGGTTATATATATAATAATAATCCTTGCATTTTATATAGTGCTTTTCCCATCTTCTAGACGTCTCAAAGCGCTTCACAGAATATGCTGTAAAGTGAATTGACTGTATATTTATGGGCGAAATGCAGCAGCCAATTGCACACAGCAGTGTCCCACAAACAGTCGTGGATTAAAGTGACCAATTTGTTATTTTTTTATTGAGGGATTATTATCAGGCGTGTGGAGTAAGGAAACTTGCCCAAGGTTTCGCCCTGATGGGTATCGAATGGGCGGGTGGAAGACATGGAGCAGGCCAGTGCCCCCGGAGCAGAGGAGCAACAGGTTGGTTCTTAACATACACAAACATACACACGGATATATACCAGCACACATAGGACCATCACGTTACCAGAATATTTCACAAGAGGCTCCTTATGAAAATATGTCAATGCATCTCAGCAGAAAAGAAAACAAGAGTGCATAGCAGAACAGCAGAAGGTATTGAATGATAAAGATATTTGGGTTATCAAGCCGGCTCATTCAACAAGTCATAGTCCTGAACTTCACCCAATTTCCTTAATCTGCTGAGCGAGGCTAACATCAACAGGTAATAAAACTTAAAAAAACTATGACGCCTGTGAAATCTCTAAATTAGGCTTCAATCTCAACCAGGCAGTCACCTTAATAAGGCAGTAACACACTCTTTGCCAATACACACAGAGAATGCTTGATATCATAATCTGCTATTCTCTCAGAAATTAATCTGTGGGTGTCCATTATTTGCCCCATAATCTTCCCTGGGTATCTGTTATTCTGTGTCTGTTATTTGATGTTCTCTGTGTAATCACTCCCATATATTTCTTATTCTCCACAAAATCGCTCCCTGATTTCCTTTATTCTCCATTTAATATCTCCCAGGTGTCCAGCATTCTCTGTGTAAGGACTCCTGGGTAAACCATCCGTACTTTTCTGTAATAATTTCCAGGTACCAGTTATTCTCTATATACCAAATTAATGTCTGCAGAAAACTTTCAAGCATTTAAATGTTAGAAGTTACATAGACACGAAAGAGGCTTTGATTTTGGCCAGTTTCTTGAACAGAGCTCACAAACGTACTCATCTCAATCCAGCTTTGAATGGGAGCTATTGCAGTGTTGTGTTCTGTGTCTGTTGAGGCTGGTCTGTGGATAATGACCAGCTGGCTCTCCTCTGATAGCTGACATTGTGACAGATATGCATCTGATTCAATAAGCTGCTCGAACAGGGTCATCAGCCATATCAGATAGACGCCTTTGCTCAATGCCATTGTGGGCTCAACGGAGAAAGCATTCCACGGAAACACAGGCTGACATCTTGGGGTCAATATGTGTTGCTTAATAACCTCTGTCTGTTCTCTGTTAGAAATAATTGCAAATAGCAGCAGCTGAGGCTTGGGCTGTGTGCTGCCTCAACTAATTTTGCTCGAGCTGACAGTGAGAATGAGACACCCTTTCCACCATTCTCACATTCTCATAGACAAAAACCACAATGCTATGAGAACCCACACACAATCCCCTTTTTCATTGATGTAAACCCTCCATCGCTATTGTTCCCAATGAATCTGGGCCCCTCTTCTCACCTTCCGTAATGTCCTAATGTCCTAATTTCTGGAACACTTACACTCAATATCCGCCTCTTTATCCACCATTAAATCCCTCAAGAGGTTGTTTTTTTTTGGTGGCGAGGGGGTTAGTCGGCTGGGTGTCTGACACATGAGGAAACCAATTGGCATTCTTAAGTGTATCCTACATATGAAAAATTCTAGAGATAGATTCTTGGAATGGAACGTGCACTCTCTCTCTGGAGGGACGCATTTTGCTTACCGAATTCCGGAAAGTATTAGGAGCAGGTTGGTAAGAGCCCAGGTTTGGGGACTACAGAGTGTGCATTGGAGTCAAACCAGCTAGAAAAGCAGAGCCTGCCATCGATAGCATTGTCTCGCAAGTTTTCCTGCTGCTTGTCCAGCTCGGATCACCCTACCTGTTAGGGCTTTAGCTTGCAGGGTTAACAGGAGATGTGTGGGAGGATTCCCTGTCCCAAGTGACCAGCCTATGGCTACCTCTCCTTCTCCCTCATTTCACGTGAAAGGCACTGTGTTGTTGTTGGCAAGTCATTTTTGTTGTTGCTGCTTGCCATCTGATCCCGTCTCTGTAAAGCATTTCCAAGACGTTATATAAATGCAAGTTGTTGTTGTTGTTGTTGTGAGAGGATGGTTACTTGGGTTGACTCAATTTCCAATTTTCCCACCCAATGAAGAATTGCTCTCCTTGCTCGCCCTCCATATCTGCCCATCCCAGTGACCAGGCACATACTTGTTTGGAGATATCAGTCACATCAGCCACTCTGTGCCAACATGCTTCACCACTAAACCAATCTTATTTGTCTATCAAACTAATCAGCCATACTTGTCCTTTATGATTCCTCAGCATTTTTTTCGCATTGCACTTTCTACAACCTTCCTGATGGAGACTCAATAGATATGTTTGAATGAAAAGGAAGCTAAATAGTTTTACTATACAGTATTAGATTCCCAGTCCAGAGTGAAATGAGTTTATAACCTTAGCCTCAATTGTCATAGATCAGTCTGAACTGTTATCTCCAGTGACAAAGTGTGCTTACCTCTTGTCTGTATATTGACTGAAACTCTTAGCTACATTTTTGTAAAAGCATTCATTCCAGTTTCCCCTCAGGAAACAATTAGATCCCAGCCTTCTTTCAATGCCGCACACAGTCAATCTCAGACCAAACGCACGACTGCTGAACCAAAAAATGCAGGATCTTCTCCAAATTGAAGTTCTCTGATTCAATATTAGGATTAGTCAAGTCGAGTTTGACTTGAGCAGATTAGTTTGTGGATCTGAACTAGATTTCTTCTCCTTTCTCCATTTCATCAAGTTATCCCTCAAGAAAGATTCAATCAGCTTTGCTTTTCTCTCTGTCTCTCTTCGTGTTGTGGGACTGTAAATCCAAAGTAAGAGGTTGCTTTTGCTAATTTTAACCCAAATCCTCCAAGGCCAGAAATAAGATATGTAATTAACACTGCTCTCAAAAGTGATACCAATTGACATTCATTAAGAAATCCCACATGCTGAAGCCACAAGCACAGTGTGGAGAGACTGAAACAATGGAGATACTTTTATGGGACATTGAGTGTATGTGGGGGGCTGGGCCTGTGGGGAGATAGGGGTAAGAGTGCTGAGATACACTGTTGAAGTGACAAAAACATGTGCTCGTGTGACGACCTGAGATTGGGAGCAGTCACTGTGTGCAAGGCAAGAGCTACGCTTGATATTTGTATCAGTCGCAAAAGGAAGTAGATGAAATACAGTAAGTCTGACTCAATATGTTTCAAATACTATGCAGATTTCACTTGGCACCTACTGTGTATAGGATTCCAAAGCACCACTAACTCTTAGCAATTCTGAGTCCAAGCCCTGCCTCAACAATCTGTGTCTTAAAAAGAAACACATTCTATTGACGTGTTCTCTCTCCAACATTGCCATTTTCAAACTAAACCACAAATTAACTGCAATAATTATAATCCTTGCATTTGAATCCCTGTTCATGTTAGGATGACATCTCAAACGTGAATGCAGCTGCTAATTTGCACACAGCAGAGTCCTACAAACACCCATGAAATGAATGACCAAATTTATTGCAGGGGCCATTTGATAAAGGAACAAAGAGCATCAGCAACCACAGGCTCTATTCTCCTCAAAAGCATTTTGGAGGTTACACAACCATGGACATCGCCAAGCTATGGATAGGGCTCTTTCCCTATATCAGGTAGCATCAGAGGGGCATAGAAGCCGAGGGCAATCTTGGTCTTAATTCACCCATGTATGCACGTAGCACTGCAAATGACGAGGACATGCCAACTTGTGAAAAAGGAAATAGAAGAAACATTCCAAACAATTGCTCGGTATGTTATCTGGAAGGAAAACCAACATTGAAACAAATTCATAATTTGGTTTTAGTTCAAACCAGGAATAAACTGTTGTCGAATCATGAACACCCACTGGGAGAACTGGCTGGATTCCTGGAACAAAGTAATAGAAGAAAATTTGCCATTCTCTGTTGTCCTGTGTGATTTACGTCCACGTACTGTGAAACATTACAAGGCTTGAATTTATCTCAGTTCCCAGATGCACAGATTTTATTGGTGTGCGAGGGGTTATAATTGAACACCCTGTCTATGCTAAGACGAATTATCCCCCAAAAATTGACAATCGCTTAAACCTGCAGTGATTTCACTCCGAGTGGTATTCCACTTCTGGTTTGCAAGCCAAGAATTCTCAACATAAATTAACCCGCTGCTCGGCACATCCAACCTGGAAGCAGACTGCACATCTCCTGGGGGGGCTTTGTACATCTTGGAAAAATCTAACCCATGTGATGTTCCTACAAATGTTTCTATTCAAAGATCACACAGTTGTTGGAAGGAAGTTCAACATCGACTGCATGCAACTCCCCACCATCTACACCCCCACCCCCCCGCCACCCCGCATAATAATCTTTTACAGTCTGAAGACTTGGTGGTTGGATGAGCCATATGGTCTATTTTGAATCAGAAAAAAAAAGGCCAGTTAAGGAAAAATTCTCAACGACACTGTTTTAATGCTCCACTCATTGTATCCACCCAATCATCCCTCCTCAAATCCACACAAAGCACTGTGATTTTAACCCAAACGCTTTCAGTCTTATAAGATGAAATGACGGGAAGTGGACGCTGTATGAATGGGTATTGATTGGCACTCAGTGGGTAGAGGAAATAGAGAATGCACTGCCCCAGATGGCCACAGATACAGAATCAATTGAGATGTTTAAGAGGACATGGATAGATACTCAGGAATGAAGGGCACAATACGATACAAAACTATATTTGTATAGCACCTACCATGTTGGGAGGATGACCCAAGGCCCTGGACAGTCAGGGATTCAGACCCAAGCTGGGGGTAGGGATTGCAGAGGGTGGCGAGCAGGGAGGGTAGGAGGATGGCCAAAGGCTGAAGGGTAATAAGGGATATACGCAAGTAGAAATATAAAGAACTGCCATGATCTAATGAAATGGCTTGACAAGCTCAATGGACCAAGTGGCTTCCTCCTGTTCCTTTGTTACAGGAGCTTTATTGCCTGAATTGACTCAAACAGCTCTTATCAGGTACCAACGAAAAAGCCATGTAACGTCATCAACTCTGTCACGTAACTGCACCCAATAATATGATACACATCAATGCTCCTCCTATCCCTGAAACCCGGACAATTCCCTTAAAACATTTCCTGTTGGAAATGCAATAGGAAACTGTTTGCAAATGGTTAAAGCTGTAACCAGATCCAACATCACGGACATAGTTCTGCACAATTCATAGAAAATATCAAAATACTTAGACAGCAGGATGCAATTAAAACCCAGTGCTCCATTACTTATAGAGATTATGACAGAAGCTAAAGGACAATACAGTCACTAATTCTTTTTACAAGGTTTGATCCTTTGACCTTCCCTCTCTCACAAGCAGTGACAGGCAGGCTCTTGTGGCTCTCTGAATGTACACAAGATGAATCTTGCTTCCTATGACAACCTGCTTGTAAATTTGATTAACTTTATTTTCCTTTGAGACAGTTTGCTCAGACTCAGGCCCACACAGCTATAAATCTCCGCCACAAGCTATTGATCTCATAAATCCCTCTACAGGACCAAGGGATAAGGGGAGGGCAATGGCAGAGGTGTGCAACTTCAGAGCTCAGCTCTGAAGTGACGGACAATATGACCTTTATAATCCTTGCACTTAACAATAATCCTTGCATTTGTTGAGACGTCTCAAAGCACTTCACAGAATATGTTGTATTGAATGTATATTTTGTTGGCGAAACGCAGCAGCCAACTGTGCACAGCAATGTCCCACATATAGTCATGGATAGAGTGACCTTCCCGAAACATCAAGTCACAAAGCATGACATGATGGCTCAGTGTGTAAATGCATAGTGTGGTGTCAAACTGAGACCCACAGAGCACAGAGACAGCTTCTGGTCTGTGCTGAGTTAGATGTTCTCATGGTGAGAATGGGCACCATGACCCTGGATTGAAAGGGTGGGCCCTGCTGAACAAAGAAAACAAGGACATGACTGGGTTTACTATAATCACTAATTCTTCCTGACTTAATAGCTTGCTGATGCTTGTGATGCCTGAACTCGCACTTAAATAATAGCCACTTGGACACCTGGAGATCTACCAGGGCTTGAGGAACCCTGCCCAGCATAACTCACCCA